TGGCGAGGGAGCCAACGCGAATCCAGTCTGGCGAATAATAACCCAAATCCTCCAATATGGCCAGGCCAGATTGGCCCTTGGGGCCCAATCCAGTCTGACTGGCGAGGAAGCCAACGCGAATCCAGTCTGGCGAATAACCCAAATCCTCCACTATGGCCAGGCCAGATTGGCCCGTGGGGCCCAATCCAGTCTGACTGGCGAGGGAGCCAACGCGAATCCAGTCTGGCGGATAACCCAAATCCTGCACTATGGCCAGGCCAGATTGGCCCTTGGGGCCCAATCCAGTCTGACTGGCGAGGGAGCCAACGCGAATCCAGTCTGGCGAAGAACCCAATCCTTACACTATGGCCAGGCCAGATTGGCCCTTGGGGCCCAATCCAATTTGTGAACTGTCGACGTTGTGGGAGCCAACGCGAATCCAGTCTGCGAACATACCCAAATCCTCCACTATGGCCAGGCCAGATTGGCCCTTGGGGCCCAATCCAGTCTGACTGGCGAGGGAGCCAACGCGAATCCAGTCTGGCGAATAACACCCAAATCCTCCACTATGGCCAGGCCAGATTGGCCCTTGGGGCCCAATCCAGTCTGACTGGCGAGGAAGCCAACGCGAATCCAGTCTGGCGAATAACCCAAATCCTCCACTATGGCCAGGCCAGATTGGCCCGTGGGGCCCAATCCAGTCTGACTGGCGAGGGAGCCAACGCGAATCCAGTCTGGCGGATAACCCAAATCCTGCACTATGGCCAGGCCAGATTGGCCCTTGGGGCCCAATCCAGTCTGACTGGCGAGGGAGCCAACGCGAATCCAGGGTTCGGCGAATAACCCAAAATCCTCACTATGGCCAGGCCAGCGGCCCTGGGGGCCCAATCCAGGTCTGACGGCGAGGGAGCCAACGCGAATCCAGTCTGGCGAATAACCCAAATCCTCCACTATGGCCAGGCCAGATTGGCCCGTGGGGCCCAATCCAGTCTGACTGGCGAGGGAGCCAACGCGAATCCAGTCTGGCGAATAACCCAAATCCTCCACTATGGCCAGGCCAGATTGGCCCTTGGGGCCCAATCCAGCTGAACTGGCGAGGGAGGTAGCCACCGCGAATCCAGTCGGCGAATATACCAAATCCCCACTATGGCCAGGCCAGATGGGCCCTTGGGTCCCATCCAATTGACTGGCGAGGGAGCCAACGCGAATCAGTCTGGCGAAATACCAAATCCCTCACTATGGCCAGGCCAGATTGGGCCCTTTGGGGCCCAATCCGTCTGACTGGCGAGGGAAGCAACGCGAATCCAGTCTGGCGAATAACCCAAATCCTCCACTATGGCCAGGCCAGATTGGCCCTTGGGGCCCAATCCAGTCTGACTGGCGAGGGAGCCAACGCGAATCCAGTCTGGCGAATAACCCAAATCCTCCACTATGGCTAGGCCAGATTGGCCCTTGGGGCCCAATCCAGTCCGACAGTCTGGCCTTCGACTACCCGGATCGGGGGTCGGGCGCCGAGCAGGGATGCCCAGGGCTCGAGGGTCCAGGGGCCGGGGTCGCGGGCTCGGGGGGTCGGGCAGCGGGAATCCAAAGATATCGGGGGTCCCCGAAAGGGAGGTGAAGGAGGAGGAGGAGGAGGAGGAGGAGGAGGAGGCCAAAAAAATAGCGAGAGTACTGGGGGGGGGAGGCACAGGAACAGGGGTGGGCCGAGAAGAAGGGGGGGGGAGCGAGGCGGCAGGGCGGGAGGGAAAGGGGGGCGGATACATCGCAGCGCCCTGCGCTCGCGCAGCTCGTCCACGTGGCAGCGCCTGTCCCTGCGCCACCTGCTTCCCCCGCAAGCGTGAGTGCGCCACCCCAACCCCTGTCGGCGGCGAGCCTGGGGGAAACTATCAGGGGCGGGCCTGCTCAAAAGGCTCGCAAGTCCCCCAGCCTCCTGAGAAATATTTTTGTTTTTGTTGTATCATCCTCCTCGAAGACACAGAAACCACCCAGACTGCGCGAGAACTTCTGAAAACTCCCGCCGCATTCTGGGAACGCCTACTCCTTTTCACTTCCCCCCTCGCTCGCCGCCGATCCTGGTCCTCGTCCACCTCCGCACTTCCGCTCCCCCACCACCCCTCCTTAGCGGGCCCCCTTCCACCCGCCCCCTCCGCCAGCCCTTCCCCCTTGGCGCCTCTGGCCCCCTCCACCAGCCCTCTCCGCCCAAGTCGTATCCGACCCCCTATCAACCCGCTCCACCCTGTCCCCAGCACCACCCCCGTCCAGTTTTCCCCTCCCCCGGCCGCCGCGGCCACCCTATCCTCCCTCGCCTGCCCGACCCCACGGTCCGATGTCCATCCCCCCTTTCACGCCCAAGCGCGTCAATCACCGAAATCCCACCGCCATGATCATCATCATCCTCCCCCGCCTCCCCCTCCCACTAGTCCTACTGCATCCCTCCATCAGCCCCCTCGCCTTGGCCACTTCTCCCATCCCCCCGCCCTCCCATTCTTCCATCATTCCATCATTACACCAATCCCGTCCACCAAATAACCAAATAAACACTGAAAGCCCCCCCCACGCAAAAGCCCCCAACACAACCACCCCGCCTTCGCTCCCCCTTTTCCCCCCATCCCTCCTCGTCATCCACGTTGCCGTCCTTTCCCTCTTCATCCTCCCCCTCCTCTGTGTCCGTCCGCCTCCTCCCGCTGCGTCACCAGAAAGGGGGCCGCTCCTGCACCAACACCACCATCACCTTCACGCCACCCTCGGGCCACGGCCACGCCTGCAGCCTGAGAACGGGCGGCAGAAACCGCGCACATACACTTCGCCCTAGCTGATGGAATTAGGAGGAGCGCGGGATTGCCAGGACTACTAGCATCACAAACCCCACCTGCCCCTGAATTCCTGGTCAGCAGGAAACACGCGGCGCCGAGAGATGGAATGGGACAGGAGGAGGAGCAGCAGCCCGCGGAAGAGGGGACCAGCAGCCCCCTCTTCCACCTCGGGCATGTTTCTCCTCTCCCCGAGATCAGACAGAGGTCAGTTACAGGCGACGCCGCCAAGTCTGAGCCTCTCGGGGAGCGCGACGATGGTGCAGGACTTGAGCGCCACGCCCCGGAGCCTCCTCCTGCTCCTCCTACTCCTCCTCATCCTCCTCCTTCTCCTCCTCTTCCTCCTCCTCCTCCTCCTCCTCCTCCTCCTCCTCCTACTCCTCCTCCTCCTCCTCCTCCTCCTCCTAAACCTGTGCCAAGGGCTCGTGCTTCTCCCCGAACAATCGCTGTGTTTCGCTGGCGGTGCGACAACCCAGAAAAGCACCTCCACCACCTGATAGAGCAGCTCCGCCGCGCCTCCAGGAGCGGCAGCTCAGCTGGAGACCTCCTCGTCACCCTCCTCCTTCGCCTACTCATCCTTCTCATCCTCCTGGGGATGAGGCTGCGAAAGGTTCTGATTCAGAAGTTGACGCCAGCGATGCCCCCCCTCCTGCCGCTCACAGGAGGGAGGGAGAAAGACCACGGAGTTAAGAGGGAGAGCAGAAGGGAACGACCAAACGACGAGACCCTCCTCACACCACCCTGCTCATCAAGTTATCCACACACACCACACACACACGAAAACCCTCCTCCTTCCCCCCTCATCCTTCCCCTCCTGGGTCCGAGAACACATTGCAGCCGTCCTTCTCCCCCTCTTCCTTCCTCTCCCCATCCTCTATCCCGTGTCCGCACAGATCAGAGTTCACGTCCACTGTCGCAACACGAGAAGTGTCGGTAGGGCGGGCCAGGCGTTTGGCCTAAGACTTCCTCACCACGTGTGCTCATGAAGCTTGGATTATGATCGATGGAGGGCAATCCTGTTTCAAAATGGGGCGCTCGCATTGCCGCCGATGACGTTCGTCCGAAAGCTTGCAACCGCTACAAGGATGGAAGAAGGCTCCTTTCCACAATGAGAATTCCGTTTGGACATATCTCAAGCTTCACGGCCTGAAGCTCGCACAAATGCAACAACTGGACTTCTGGATGGTGGTTCTTTTTTTCTAAAATGGGTGGGGCCTCTTATGAGACCTCCTCACGCTGCATGACTACAAGCGCAACCGTGGGCAACCGCTGTAAGCATGGGGCAGCATAGGGGCGGTTCCCTTTCAAAATGTGGCTCTGGCTGGGCACCGTGTTGGCCGTCACGATCCTACCAGCCGCATTCCTTCGACAACACGCGAAGAAGTCGGAGCAGGCCCTTCTCGAAGCAGGGCCTCCGCCGCAGTGGCAGGCCCTCGGGGGGGGGAGCTTGTCTTTAGAGAGGGCGCCTCTTGAAGTGAAAATGGAAGGCTTGAGGGAACCTGTGAGGAGGGGACTTGAGACGGGAGAGCATGAGAGCATTACTGCAGCATCGTTGATGCATCCTGGGCTTACTTCGGTCCCCGTCCTTGTCCTCCTCTTCCTTCTTCTCTTCCTCCTCCTCCTCCTCCTCCTCCTCCTCCTCCTCCTCCTCCTCCTCCTCCCTTTCCTCTTCCCCCCCCACCCCCCCACCCCCGCACACCCCCGAAACACATGTTGAAACGCTCATGCTCCCCCATTCCACCCCCTCCGCATCCTCCTCCTCCTCATCTTCCTTCTCATCCCCCTCCTTCTGTCGTTCCTTCTTGTCCCTTCCCCTCCCACTTTACCCTCTTCCCCACCCTCCCACCAGGTCTCCGACGGACTGCTAGTTTCAATCCGCGGGCCTCAGAGGTCTTGACCCCTTCCCTGGGGACAGCCTTTGAGCCAGGAGAAGGCCTGTGGAGGCCGAAATCGGAACAACATTTCAGGACCAAAACCGGGCACACACTGACATGGAGGTGCGGGCAATCTATATGTATATATATACATATAGATCCATATCCAGTGAGTCTTGGACTTTCTTGGAAGGGGCGCCGCAAGGCCGAGGCGCACTGGATATGGATAAAGCTTGAGCCTTTTGGAGGCAGATTATAATCCATATCCAGTTCGCCTCATGTTTCTTGGGAAGAGAGTCCGAAACTCCAGGACGCGCTGGATGTGGACAAAGACATTGCCCGCAGGAGGGGAAGCACCCCCGAGACATGCAGTCAGTGACGACCGACTTGGCCACTGATCGCACCGACTGTGCGCCTTGATCCACGTTCGAATTCCCTTTGTGAAAACTCCAATTGTCACTCTACCTCCTCCCGTCCTTCCAGTGCCTCTTCCTTCTCCCCTTTCCTTCCTTCCTCCTACCTCCCCACTTTTCTGGGACTATCTTTGGCTATAGGTGTGCAATGCTGCTGTCTGTGGCTGGGGACACTCCAATCGGCCGGAATCGGGAGCGTCGAAGGGGGGGGCGTCCAAGAGGGGGGCTCGCAAACCGTGGCCCGGGGCACGCGCACGGCCTGGGGAATGGGGGGGGGGCGAAGGACGTGTTGAAACAACGAAAGAGATGGCTTTTTGAAACCCGGGCCATGATACCAGTGGCTTTTGAAACCCGTTTTTGAAACAACAAAAAAAGTGGCTTCTTGTTGGAACAACAAAAGAAGGCGGCGGATATCATGGCCCCGGCCATGATACCCCTCCCAACTTTCACCGCCACTTTGGCCGCCCCTGCACCCCACCATTCCCCCCCCAAACTTTCGGGTCGTATCTCGGGCCTCTGGCGGCGGTCCAAAACGATCCGGGCACCCCTGGAGGGCCCTCGGCGAGGCGCAGCCGCTGGAGAGCATCCCGAGGCTGGAAAGCCGCCGAGAACCCAAGGGAACGTCAAAAAATATCGAACCTGGGACATCGATCCGCTACGAGCCCGCCCCTGACCCCACCCCGGGCGGCCGCTTCGCCGCCGCCACCGCGGCCGACGGCTCGCGGATCCCACCGTCCGTCACGAGCACCACCGTGCCGCGCCTCTGCGCGGCGGAGGGCAGCGACCGACGGCAGCGGCGACTGGGAGGGCCAACACCGCGAGCGGCGAACATGTCCGCATCCACGCCCTGGCGGTGCTGAGGACGAGCCAGGGAATGTGCCACGCCGAGGGGCGTGCTAGGGGAGGTGCCAGGCAAGTCACGCCAGAACGTCGCAAGTGACGCGCAAGAGGACGCGCCAGTGCGCCAGGGGACGCCCCACGGACGGGTGGGGTTGGGCTGCGACGCGCTCTATTGCGACAAGCGTTTCGCTCGAGAGATCCTCAAGACATCCTAATGTCAGACATCAGCCTCGGCGACGTGGATACTTGAAAACAAGCGTCTCGCTCGAGACATCCTCACCACACCCTCATGTTAGACATCCGCCTGGGCGGCCTGGACACGTGAAAACGAGCGTCTCGCTCAGGCAATCCACAGAACATCCTCATGCTAGACATCTGCCTGTGCGACCTGGACATGTGAAAACATCTGTTTCGCTTTAGACATCCAGCCCCAATCCTCATGCTAGACATCCGCCTAGGCGACCTGGACACGTGAAAACAGGCGATTCGCTCGAGACACTCTCAACACATCCTCATGTTAGATATTCGCCTGGGCGACCTGGGCACGTGAAAACAAGCGTCTTGCTCAAGACATCCTCAACACATCCTCATGTTAGATATCAGCCTAGGCGACCTGGACACGTGAAAACAGGCGATTCGCTCGAGACACTCTCAACACATCTTCATGTTAGACATCCGCCTGGGCGACCTGGGCACGTGAAAACAAGCGTCTCGCTCAAGACATCCTCAACACATCCTCATGTTAGATATCAGCCTTGGCGACCTTGGCACGTGGAACAAGCGTTTCGCCCAAGACAGTCTCAACACATCTTCATGTTAGACATCCGCCTGGGCGACCTGGGCACGTGGAAACAAGCGATTCGCTCGAGACGTTCTCCACACATCCTCATGCTAGACATCCGCCTGGGCGACTTGGGCACGTGAAAGCTAACGTATAGACATCCGCCGGGGCGACCTGGGCACGTGAAGGCACGCGTTTTGCTCGAGACACCCCCAGCGTATATACTTGTTCGACATCCACCTGGGAGACCTGGACCCGCAAAGAAACGTTTCGCTCGAGACACCTTCGACACATCCTCATGTTAGACATCCGCCTGGGCGGCCTGGGCACGTGAAAGCAAACGTTTCGCTCGAGCCTCCCCCAACTCGTCAAAACGAGCGTTTTGCTCGAGACATCCAACAAACTATGTAGAAGAATCGTTTCGCTCGGGACATCCTTGTTCTAACGTGTCCAGGCCACCCAGGGGGGATAAATAACATGCGGACGTCTGGGGCGTCAGCCAGGGACCATCATGTTAGATACCCCCTGGTCGACCGGGACACGTGAAAACAAGCGTTTCGCCTGAGACATCCTCTGAACTCTGCCCTCCGACGAGGCCCCCGCTCGAGGCATCCCCCAACTCTGCAAAACCAGCGTTTCGCCTGAGAAATCCTCAACACATGTATCTTAAAACAGCGCTTCGGTAGGGACATCCTCAACTTTTTGATTCGCTGGCCCTACGCGACATCGTTATTCATCGCAGAATAAATTCGCCGGCCCTACGCAAGTCGAGGCTGGGGATTAGCCAGCAAAAATTAGCCTGGCGAAGGACCCAACCATATGCAGTTGTGAATGCCGCAATTGTGCTGGGTGGTGGCGGACGCATGCGGGCGGTGCCACTGGGACCTTCGGTGGAGCTCCCTATGGGGCCACGAAACTCTGTACTGGGTGGGTGAGACGCGGTCAGCAAGGGCTGTGCTGCGTGGTGGCGGACGCATGCGAGCGGTGCCACTGGGACCTTCGGTGGAGCTCCCTATGGGGCCACGAAACGCTGTACTGGGTGGGTGAAACGCAAGCAGGGAGCAAGGGCTGTGCAGGGTGGTGGCGGACGCATGCGGGCGGTGCCGCTGGGACCTTTGGTGGAGCTCCCTATAGGGCTACGAAGCGCTGTTCTGGGTGGGTGAAGCGCAGGGAACAAGGCTGTGCTGGGTGGTGGCGGACGCAAGCGGGCAGTGCCACTGGGACCTTTGGTGGAGCCCCCTATGGGGCCACGAAACGTGCGAGGGGTGTGCCAGAATGGGGTGTGGAACCGCATGCCAGCGCAGCCACTGGGGCCTTCGGTGGAGCTCCCTATGGAACCACGAAACGTGTGAGGGGTGTGCCGAAATGGGGGTGGAACCGCATGCGAGCGCAGCCACTGCGGCGTTCGGTGGAGCTCCCTATGGGGCCACGAGACGTGTGCAGGGCGTGCCGGAAAAGGGGGTGGAACCGCATGCGAGCGCAGCCACTGGGGCCTTCGGTGGAGCTCTCTATGGGGCCACGAACCGTGTGAGGGGTGTGCCGAAATGGGGGGGGACCACATGCGAGCGCAGCCACTGGGGCCTTCGGTGGAGCTCCCCATGGAGCCACCCACGAAAAAAAAAAAAGAAAAAAAAAAAAAAAAGCGTGTGAGGGTGGTGCCGAAATGGGGGGTGGAACGCATGCGGGCGCACCACTGGGTCCTGTTCGGTGGAGCTCCCTATGGGGCCACGAACGTGTGCGGGGTGTTCCAGAATGGGGGGTGGGGAAGTCATCCAGCGCAGCCACTGGGGCCTTCGGTGGAGCTCCCTATGGGGCCACGAAACGTGTGAGGGGTGTTCCAGAATGGGGGGTGGAACCGCATGTGAGCGCAGCCACTGGGGCCTTCGGTGGAGCTCCCTATGGGGCCACGAAACGTGTGAGGGGTATGCCAGAATTGGGGGTGGAACCGCATGCGAACGCGGCCACTGGGGCCTTCGGTGGAGCTCCCTATGGGGCCAGGGGGGGGGGGGGGGGGGGGGGGGGGGGGGGGGGGGGGGGGGGGGGGGAAAAAAAAAAAAAAAAAAAAGGGGGGGGGGGGGGGGGGGGGGGGGGGGGGGGGGCGAAACGAGTGAAGGGTGTGCCGAAATGGGGGGGGTGGAACCGCATGCGAGCGCAGCCACTGGGGCGCTCGGTGGAGCTCCCTATGGAGCCACGAAGCGTGTGAGGGGTGTGCCAGAATGGGGGGTGGAACCGGATGCGGGCGCAGCCACTGGGGCCTTCGGTGGAGCTCCATATGGGGCCACGAAACGTGTGAGGGATGTGCCAGAATGGGGGGTGGAACCGCATGCGGGCGCAGCCACTGGGGCCTTCGGTGGAGCTCCCTATGGGGCCACGAAACTAGGAGATAAAAAAAAAAATGAAAAAAAGAAAGAAAGAAAAGAAAATTAAAAAAAAAAAAAAAAAAAAAACGAAAAGAGGGGTGTGCCAGAATGGGGGGTGGACCCGCATGAGGGCGCAGCCACTGGGGCCTTCGGTGGAGCTCCCTATGGGGCCACGAAACGTGTGAGGGGTGTGCCGGAATGGGGGGTGGAACCGCATGCGGGCGCAGCCACTGGGGCCTTCGGTGGAGCTCCCTATGGGGCCACGAAACGTGTGAGGGGTGTGCCAGAATGGGGGTGGAACCGCATGCGGGCGCAGCCACTGGGGCCTTCGGTGGAGCTCCCTATGGGGCCACGAAAAATGTGAGGGGTGTGCCAGAATGGGGGGTGGAACCGCATGCGGGCGCAGCCACTGGGGCCTTCGGTGGAGCTCCCTATGGGGCCACGAAACGTGTGAGGGGTGTGCCAGAACGGGGGGTGGAACCGCATGCGGGCGCAGCCACTGGGGCCTTCGGTGGAGCTCCCTATGGGGCCACGAAACGTGTGAGGGGTGTGCCAGAATGGGGGGTGGAACCGCATGCGGGCGCAGCCACTGGGGCCTTCGGTGGAGCTCCCTATGGGGCCACGAAACGTGTGAGGGGTGTGCCAGAATGGGGGGTGGAACCGCATGCGGGCGCAGCCACTGGGGCCTTCGGTGGAGCTCCCTATGGGGCCAGGAAACGTGTGAGGGATGTGCCAAAATGGGGGGTGGAACCGCATGCGGGCGCAGCCACTGGGGCCTTCGGTGGAGCTCCCTATGGGGCCACGAAACGTGTGAGGGGTGTGCCAGAATGGGGGGTGGAACCGCATGCGGGCGCAGCCACTGGGGCCTTCGGTGGAGCTCCCTATGGGGCCACGAAACGTGTGAGGGGTGTGCCAGACTGGGGGGTGGAACCGCATGCGGGCGCAGCCACTGGGGCCTTCGGTGGAGCTCCCGATGAGGCCACGAAGCGTGTGAGGGGTGTGCCAGAATGGTGGGTGGAACCGCATGCGGGCGCAGCCACTGGGGCCTTCGTGGAGCTCCCTATGGGGCCACGAAACGTGTGAGGGGTGTGCCAGAATGGGGGGTGGACCGCATAAGCGCGCAGGCCACTGGTGGGGCTACTCTTCGGCGGAGCTTCCCCATGGGGCCCAGGAAACGTGTGAGGGGTTGTGACAGGGAGGGAAAAGAAAATGGAAGGTGGAACCGCATGCGGGCGCAGCCACTGGGGCCTTCGGTGGAGCTCCCTATGGGGCCACGAAACTGTGAGGGGTGTGCCAGAATGGGGGGTGGAACCGCATGCGGGCGCAGCCACTGGGGCCTTCGGTGGAGCTCCCTATGGGGCCACGAAACGTTTGAGGGGTGTGCCAGAATGGGGGGTGGAACCGCATGCGGGCGCAGCCACTGGGGCCTTCGGTGGAGCTCCCTATGGGGCCACGAAACGTGTGAGGGGTGTGCCAGAATGGGTGTGGGAGGGGGAGGAAGGGGGGAGGACGGGGAGGAGGGGCGGGAAACGCGGGGCACCGTCTCTTCAAGAACGAAGACCCAAACACCCACAGGATGGTTGGGACATGATGGACCCACGAACCCGGAAAGGGATCTAGACATGTGCAGCATGGTCACGGTTTCACGATACCCAACTGGGCGACACCTCACGAAACATCCCACGAGACACCCCGCGAAACATCCCACGAGACACCTCACGAAACATTCCACGAGACACCTCACGAAACATTCCACGAGACACCCTTTGAAACATTCCACGAGACACCCCACGAACACGCAACCACTCAACCAGACACGCCACGAAACATTCCACGGGGGTGCGACTGGGTGTGGTCGTGCTGGGGTGTGGTCGTGCTGGGGTGTGGTCGTGCTGGGGAGTGGTCGTGCTGGGGTGTGGTCGTGCTGGGGGGTGGTCGTGCTGGGGCGTGGTCGTGCTGGGGGGGTGGTCGTGCTGGGGGTGGTTGTGCTGGGGCGTGGTCGTGCTGGGGCGTGGTCGTGCTGGGGCGTGGTCGTGCTGGGGTGTGGTCGTGCTGTGGTGAGGTCGTGCTGGGGTGTGGTCGTGCTGGGGTGTGGTCTTGCTGGGGTAGGGTCGTGCTGGGGTAGGGTCGTGCTGGGGTGTGGTCGTGCTGGGGTATGGTCGTGCTGGGGTGGGGTCGTGCTGGGGTGGGGTCGTGCTGGGGTCTGGTCGTGCTGTGGTGTGGTCGTACTGGGGTATGGTCGTGCTAGGGTGGGGTCGTGCATTTCGCTCGAGACATCCTGCCAAAATTCCAGGAAATCGTACAAAAACAAAGGAATTAGTCGAGACATAATCGAAATTCCTTCGCGCGGGGCGCTTTTTTTTGGCTGTCGGCGGGGTCCGGCTCTTCCAAACCAGCGCGTCCGCCTCGAGACATACTCAACAAATTGTGAAACCAAGCGTTTTCGCTCGATACAATCCCCAACTCTGCAAAACCAGCGGGTCCTCGCTCGAGAACATCCTCACAAATTCTGAAAACAAGCGTTTCGCTCGAGACATCCTCAAATTTTAATTCGCCGGCCTCCTTCGACCTCGATATTTATCAGGGAAAAAATTCGCCGGCCTCCTTCAAGTTGGCACCGGGGGATTAGGTTTACCAACTAAAAGAGAACCCTGGGCCCCCGCCCTTTCCGGGAAAAAAAACCATGGGCCGACGCCCTTTCCGGAAAAAAGACCCCTGGGCCCACGCCCTGTCCAGCAACAGAACATCGCAGGAGGACTGCTTCTCGCCCGCGAGGTTCTAGCTGCATCCAGGTACAGTGGCTGTCTGGGAGTGCGCCCAGACAGCCGAAGCAATAGATTGTGCCACCGTGCCAGACCGCAGCAAAAATGGACGACCTCCATGGGCAAGCCTCGGAGGTCGGTCCCCACACGCTGGCAGACGTCCAGGGGGGAAACCGAGGGAAGCACCAAAAGGCCATCAGACCAGCGTCCTCCCTCATCCTCCCCTCTCCTCCTCCCTCCTCCTCCCGCCTCCTCCCCCTTCTCCCCCCTCCTCCTCCCTCCTCCTCCTCCCTCCTCCTTCCTCCTCCTCCTTCCAACAAGCGGGAAACCGGGGGAAACCGCGGACCAGAACGGAGCTGGGATCCCGACCAAGCGCGAGCAGCTCGCGGGACTTGAATGCGGGGCACCAGGGGCACGCCTCAGACACCACGGCTGCACGAACCCCAGCGACAGGAGCGTCACCGAGGAAGATCGGGCAGCGAGCAGGCCAAGGCCTCGGGAAGAATCACCATGCGTGTCGTGCAGACAGCTGCTAGCCGATCACAGAACTCGCACAGAGACAAAAGAAGCCAGAATCACAGATAACGCCGAAGTTAATCTGATCCCGACACGACGCCCTCACCACCCGCCCACCGACCACTGCCAGACGGGAGAGATGACGCCGACCCCCCCCTGCGGACGGCGGCCGCCACCTCGCGGAACCGAGCAACACTGGCTGGCGCGGACGTGGCCTCCTCCACCCGCTTCTCGTCGTCCGATGGGGGTAAGTTAGCAGCATGCACGGGAGGCTCAGAACTTCCTAAATCTGAGGATGTCCTTTGAGCACATTCGCACCGAAGGCTTCGGCGGCTCAGGATGTCGACCTCTGAGGATAGAACTTCATTCAATTTTCGGCGGGCTGACATCGTCTTTGGGCAAAGAGCGTTATAGAGGTTGGTTTCGACAGGGGGCAACCGAAAAAAAAAGACGCGTAGTGAACACAAACAAAGGGATAGAGAGAGAAGGGGGGGGGACAGAGAGAGAGAGAGAGAGAAAGAAAGAGAGAGAGAGAGAGATGCCGTCTGAACAAACGAGCCCTACTACGCTGAATCGATGTCCTCCGGCCCCCCGCTACAAACGCAAGTCGGGGCGCGACCTGGCTGTGACATGTTACGACCAAGAGTGCAACAAACTATGCATTTCCAGCCCCGAGCGATCCATCTGAATGAGCAGGCGCGATTGGCCCCGGGAATGCTCCAGGGCCGTCTTGGAGGCCATCCTGGGCGTCTTAAAAGCCTCCTGGGCCGTTTTGGGAGCCTCTTGGGGCCGCCTTGGGGGCCTCCTGGGCCGTTTTGGGGCCATCTTCGAGGCCCCTTGGGAGATCCTTGGGCGATGTTTGGAGGCTTTTGGGCCGTATCGGGCCGTCAGAAGGCCGAAACGAAGCAAACATCAAAATCCTTCGAACACCTTAGGGAAACTAGTGTTTTTGTCCTTTTCTGGCCTTCCTGGAGACCCTCTTGCCGCCAAGATATGCCGCTTGCGTGCCGTGCCGTGCCCGCCTGCCGTGCCGAGCCCGCGCTCGGACACGCCGGCGCGCGTACCGCCCAGGAGCCACGCGCGCCATGCCGTGCCTGTGTGCGCCGCCGTGCCCCGCCGTGCCGCAGCGTGCCCGCCGTGCCGTGCAATCCGTCGAGAGCCGCGCGGAGTGCCACGCGGAGTGCAGCACACGCGTGCCGTGCGCGTGCCGTGCGCTGTGCTAGGCCAGCGTGCCGCGCCTCGCGCCCCCGTGCCGTGCCGTCCACGCCGATGGGCCCGTGTCCCACCAGCGCCACCAGAAGTTGGAGGGGGGGAGGAGGAGGAGGAGGAGGAGGAGGAGGAGGAGGAGGAGGAGGAGGAGGAGGAGGAGGAGGAGAAGGAGGAGGAGGAGGAGGAGGAGGAGGAGGAGGAGGAGGAGGAGGAGGACCCCCCCTCCCCCTCCTGCTTATGGTGGTGGCGGTGCAAAACAAGCCCACCACACGCGCATCCCGATGCTGACTCGCCGTGTGTCTCCTCGTGCAGCGCTGCTGTTGGCGGGGACGATGCGATTACTCCCCGAACCTCTCCTGGGTGCGTTCTGACCAAGAATTCGAGGAGAACCCCCGCAGTGACGGCGAGCGCATCCCGGGAGGCACTGGGAGGGCGAGAACGAGGTAAGGGTGGCGGTATCGGTACCTCCTCGCGTCTCCTCGTGAAGCGGACCAGATCCAAGAACTCCGCGCGGAACCCCGATCCTTTGTGTTCCTGTCGTGTTTGTTCTTCGGCCGAGGGCAGGCGGGCTGCGCGCGCCGCTGCTTGCCCAGCACCGGGCGCTCCATCGCCAGCAGCCTGCCGGCGGCGAAGAGGGCCTCCGAGGCGGCGCTCTCGCCTCCCGGCTGCGAGGCCTGGCGCCCGCCCGCCCCCCCCCCCCGGGCGAGGCGCATCAAGCGGCCACGCGCGCAGGAGTTCTATATGGGGCCACGAAACGTGCGAGGGTCTACTGAAATGGTGACAATGAGGTGACGATGGCGATGATGATGATGATGATGATGATGATGATGATGATGATGATGATGATTTATGATGATGTTGATGCTGATGATGCTGACGATGATGGGAGGAGGCGGGGTTGGTGATGGAGGAGGAGGGCGGTGGAGGAGGAGGAGGAAAGGGAGAAGGAGGAGGAGGAGGAGGAGCTGCGCGCCCTCGCGCCGCCGCGCCGGGCAGGGGCACGTTCGCGGCCCAGGCCGCGATGCGCGACGCGCGATGCTGCGCACAGATCGATGGTCCTCAGACCCAGACCCCCTCGCGCCATGAAAAAATCACGACGGGAGGTTTTTCGCTATTTTCGGCCTCTGGGGGCCCGTACCGGGCCTCGGGACCGTCAAACATGATGGACCCACGAACCCGGCAAGGGATATAGACATGTGGAGCATGGACACGTTTTCACGATACCCAACTGGGCAACACCTCACGAAACATCCCACGAGACACTTCACGAAACATCCCACGAGACACCTCACGAAACATTCCCACGAGACACCTCAACGAAAAAAACATTCCACGAGACACCCCGCGAAACATTCCACAGACACCCCAAGACGAAACATTCCCGACGACAGGCAACCACCCTCAAACCAAGGCGGTGTGGTCGTGCTGGGGCGTGGTCGTGCTGGGTCGTGGTCGTGCTGGGGTGTGGTCGTGCTGTGGTGAGGTCGTGCTGGGGTGTGGTCGTGCTGGGGTGTGGTCTTGCTGGGGTGTGGTCGTGCTGGGGTGGGGTCCTGCTGGGGTGTGGTCGTGCTGGGGTGTGGTCGTGCTGGGGTGGGGTCGTGCTTGGGTGGGGTCGTGCTGGGGTGTGGTCGTTCTGGGGTGTGGTCGTGCTGGGGTGTGGTCGTGCTAGGGTGGGGTCGTGCTGGGGTGGGGTCGTGCTGGGGTGTGGTCGTGCTGGGGTGTGGCCGTGCTGGGGTGTGGTCGTGCTGGGGCGTGGTCGTGCTGGGGTGGGGTCGTGCTGGGATGGGGTCGTGCTGGGGTGTGGTCGTGCTGGGGTGGTCCGCACCCTGTGATTTATCGATCGGGTCGTGCTGGGGTGTGGTCGTGCTGGTGCTGGGGTGTGGTCGTGCTGGGGTGTGGTCGTGCTGGGGTGTGGTCGTGCTGGGGTGTGGTCGTGCGGGGGTGTGGTCGTGCTGGGGTGTGGTCGTGCTGGGGCGTGGTCGTGCTGGGCGTGGTCGTGCTGGGGTGTGGTCATGCTGGGGGTGTGGTCGTGCTGAGGTGTCCCGCACCCTGTGATGTATCGATCGGGATTTCAAAAACAAGCGTTTCGCCTGAGACATCCTCAAATTTTAATCCGCCGGCCTCCTTCGACCTCGATATTTATCAGGGAAAGAATCCGCCGGACTCCTTCAAGTTGGGCACCGGGGACATGTTTACATACTAAAAGAGAACCCTGGGCCAAAGCCCTTTCCGGGAAACATGATGGACCCACGAACCCGAAAGGGATATAGACATGTGGAAGGCATGGGACACGTTTTCACCCAGCAGCCCCCCATGATACCCAAATGAGGCCCCCCATCCGAAAACATCCCCACGAGACCCTCACGAAACAGCCCACGAACAACCTCACGAAACATTCCCGAGACAAACCCTCACTAAACATTCCACGAGACACCCCGCGAAACAGTCCACGAGACACCCCACGAAACATTCCACGACGACAGGCAACCACTCAACCAAGGCGGTGTGGTCGTGCTGGGGAGTGGTCGTGCTGGGGTGTGGTCGTGCTGGGGGGTGGTCGTGCTGGGGGGTGTCGTGGGCTGGGGGGGTGGTCGTGCTGGGGGGTGGTCCGTGCTGGGGCCGTGGTCGTGCTGGGGCGTGGTCGTTCTGGGGGGCGGTGGTCGTGCTGGGGCGTGTCGTGCTGTGGCGTGTCGTGCCCGTGCCGTGGTCGTGTGCTGTGGTAAGGCCGCTCTGGGGTGCGGTTCCGTGCTGGGGTGTGGTTTCTCTTCTTGCTGGGGTGGGGTCGGTGCTGGGGTGTATCGTGCTGGGTGGGGGTCGTGCTGGGGTGTGGTTCGTGCTGGGGGGGTGGTCCGTGCTAAGGGTGGGGTCGTGCTGGGGTGGGGTGTGCTGGGGGGTGTCCGTGCTGGGTGTGGTCGTCTGGGGTGGTGGTCCATGCTGGGGCGTGGTCGTGCTGGGGTGGGGTCGTGCTGGGGTGGGGTCGTGCTGGGGTGGGTTCGTGCTGGGGTGCTCCGCACCCTGTGAGTTATCGATCGGGTCGTGCTGGGGTGTGGTCGTGCTGGGGTGTGGTCGTGCTGGGGTGTGGTCGTGCTGGGGTGTGGTCGTGCTGGGGAGTGGTCGTGCTGGGGTGTGGTCGTGCTGGGGGGTGGTCGTGCTGGGGGGTGGTCGTGCTGGGGGGGTGGTCGTGCTAGGGGGTGGTCGTGCTGGGGCGTGGTCGTGCTGGGGCGTGGTCGTGCTGGGGCGTGGTCGTGCTGGGGTGGGGTCGTGCTGGGGTGTGGTCGTGCTGGGGTGTGGTCGTGATGGGGTGTGGTCTTGCTGGGGTAGGGTCGTGCTGGGGTCGGGTCGTGCTGGGGTGTGGTCGTGCTGGGGGATGGTCGTGCTGGGGTGGGGTCGTGCTGGGGTGGGGTCGTGCTGGGGTCTGGTCGTGCTGGGGTGTGGTCGTGCTGGGGTATGGTCGTTCTAGGGTGGGGTCGTGCATTTCGCTCGAGACATCCTGCCAAAATTCCAGGAAATCGTACAAAAACAAAGGAATTAGTCGAGACATCATCGAAATTTCCTTCGCGCGGGGCGCGTTTTTTTTTTTTTTTTTTTCCGCGCGTCGCGGGTCGGGCTCTGACTGCCAAACCACGTTTCGCTCGAGACAATCCTCCGGCAAACTCTGGCGGAGCAAGCGTTTTCCGGGCTCGGCACCATCCCCAACTCTGCAAAACCAGCGTTTCGCTCGAGTCATCCTCAACAAATTCTGAAAAACAAGCGTTTCGCTCGAGTCTGAAAAACAAGCGTTTCGCTCGAGACATCCTCAAATTTTAATTCGCCGGCCTCCTTCGACCTCGTTATTTATCAGGGAAAAAATTCGCCGGCCTCCCTCAAGCAGGCACCGGGGGACAGGTTTACCTACTAAAAGAAAAAGAGAACCCTGGGCCCGCGCCCTTTCCGGGAAAAATGCACACGTCCGAGCGATGCTAGTCGGCAATACCGGGGGAGCATTTTGGATGTGAACGTTAATTTTCAAGGGGCCCAGTGGCACACAAATACATACACACACGAATACAAATATTCCCCAATGTTTTCTCGTAGTTTCTGGATTTGCGTCATCCCCACCGCTTCCCATATTTTCCCATATTTCCTGCGGATCGACGATTAATAGTGTCTGTGTGTTTTTTCCCCTGATGAAGTTTGGGCATCTCTGAGAACTGGCGGGTCTGACAAGTAGACGCTTTCTTATCCAAAATTTCGGCATTGGGCGGCATTGGGGGGGAGGGGAGGCCTGGCTCTGGACCTCTGCTCGATGCGACTGTTTGCAACCGTGCGTGCCATGGGGGAGACTCCAACTGCGTAAAACGGGCACCCAAGATCTACTCCAGGGGCTGAACGTCGAAGGAAGATAACAATGCAGTTGAACTGACCGCCTCCAATGCCCGTTCGCCGGTCGACGGTCCAGCCTTTTGCACAGAGCGATGCAAGAAACCCCCACGGGAGTAGGATCGCCTTCCGCTCGAGACCAAACTTGACGATCCGCTCTCCTGAAAGCCGCGGCATGCTAGAACAGTGTACGCTCTTGACCTGGCTCCTGCAATTCGCCACGCGCCACCTCGATGCCATGCCCATCATAATGTACGCACGGCGTCCCAAGGATGCCGATTGCCCCCTTCGTTGCCTGTGGCAGCTGCTACAACTGCACCCAGGGCTACAGAGCAGGAGGCATTCCACGAACAGTGTGCCCAGCCCACGGCCGACGCTGCACATCCATCGCTGCCTGCAGCACTGTGATTTGCTGGTCCAAGGAGCCGACCAACGTCTGAATACTGCATGCTTGTATGGCCGCCGTGGGTGCCGCTGCCACCACATGCTGATCTACTGTACCAAGCGCATCGTCGACTGCTACCTCCTGAGCAGCGCCCCCAGGCTGAGCACCAGTGACTGACACTGCAGACCTGGTAGACGTGGCAACACCGACATCACTCTCGGAGGGCGAGGACGAGGGAGGAGGAAGAAGAGGACGAGAAGGGGAGAGGACGACGAGCAGGTGAGACGCGGCCTGGGGACGAGGAGGGAGGAGGGGAGAGGACGAGGAGGAGGGGGGAGGATGAGGAGGACGACGAGCAGGCAAACACGCGGCCTCGGGACGACTGCTCGTGGCCTCGTCTGGCCGGGCCGCCTCCCTGCGCGCCGAGGAGGCAGCCGAACGAGGGGCAGGCGGGTCGAGGCGTGGCGCCTGCCCGCCGTCCCTGGGGGACGGCCCTGCCATGATGGGCCCCTTCTCCACCACCACCACCACCATGAGCAGGAGGGGGAGGGGCCCATCCTCCTCCTCCTCCTCCTCCTCCTCCTCCTCCTCCTCCTCCTCCTCCTCCTCCTCCTCCTCCTCTTCCTCCTCTTCTTATTGTTCGTCTTCGTCGTTGTCGTCTTTTTCGTATTCCTCTTTTCTTCGTATTACCATTAGTATTAATATTATTATTATTCTTCTTAATAGTATTCTTCTTAGTAGCCGTATTACCCTTACTATGCTTAGTATTAGTATTCTTCTTATTCGTATTCAGTTTCTTCTTATTCTTACTATTATTATTATTATTATTGTTATTATTAGTATCATGCTCATGCGTATTATTCTGAGTAGTAGTATGTTTCGTCTTTTCACTCGTGATATTATTCTTTTTTATTCTTCATTAAGATTAGT